AGAGAGAGAGAGAGAGAGAGAGAGAGAGAGAGAGAGAGAGAGAGAGAGAGAGAGAGAGAATATCCCACTCAGTTCCTTGGAAGAGGAAAGTTGTCTAAAAAAAAGGGAAATTGGACTTTTTGACTTGAGAACATTTTAAAAATTGCATTTATGTTACCTTAGTGATGAAAAAGCCCAGCAGCATTGCAGAGGAGTTTTATCATCTAAGATTCTGTCTGTGCACTGAACAGATTTCAGCTCTGGACATTTCTCCCTGAAATGTCTATCTGAGAGCAAAAGTTCTCTCTATTACAGTAACTTTGATTAATTCAGTAGAATTGGGAAATCCATTGGGCCAGGATTCAACAGTTGCCTATTCTTCTATTGTCTCATCTTTCTTGAAATTTCATCTAGCGAAAAGATTCAGGTCGAGAAGACAGTGGCTGGGTTTTCCAATCCTGAATAGGCTACTACGGTCACTTTTTGTATTTACTCTATCTATTTCCTTGTTTCCATCAATTCCATTGTGTAAAACAACAAATCTGTTCAGATGTTTGCCTAGACATAGAGAAAACACTGAGGTATTGTAGATTGGGGCTTCTTTTTTCCTGGTAAGATGTTTTAGACTTGAAGGCCATGCCTCCCTTTTTAGATCCCACAACAACCAAACTTCTACAATCTGACAGAGATAAAAATGCAACATCGTTAGCTAATCATACTAGCTAATAAACAATTGCTGCTAATGACATCTTAGTTTTGTCTTTTAAAACAAACTTATGTGTGATAAGATTTTTCTGCTTTTGAAAAGTAGATCTATATTAAGCCATTTGACTTTTGCTTATAGGATTGCATTTAAACAAGGGTTTAACAGTGCATTTCTTTGTGCAAAATTGTCACAGTTCTGAAAACAGGGTTTGTTGCATTCAGTCAAACAAGAAAAGCTATAACAGTTCTCATATTTAAATGTAAGAAGCATTAAAATAAGATAYGATCTAAAGCAATCTACTCCAAAATAAAGAAAGAATGAATATTTCGATCCAGAAGCTTGAGGACCTGCCTGTCTGTTTCATTTCAGCCATAAGGATTCCAAGTGATTTCTAACCAATAGTGGAATGTGAGAGGTGGCTGCATGGAAAGCCAAAAGGGCACATATTTTGCTTTCAAATTGGCCTCTTGTATCAAATAAACACAGTTAAATATGGCACCAGGAAGCATTTGCTTTTTGTTCCTATTGAGTGTTTATACTGTAAGTGAAAAAAATGATATGAACTGTAGTGGTGTGCAAGACCTCAACTGAGCAAGCTCACCACACACACACATATAT